TGCAGGCCAGGAGGGTTCACCCTGCCTAAGCAGACTCCACCCATTCTCACTGAGCTGCTCCTCCAGGGACCCGCTGGGTGCTGGGTGCAGCCCTGCTTCCAGCGCAGGAGAAGGAGGTGGGCTCCCAGCTGCCCCACCACACATCTGGAGCCCATGCTGTGCTCCCTCTGCCAGGGACTGTCAAGAGCTGAGGCTCTGAGGAACCACCTAGGACACTGGCCCTCTAAGGTGCTCCCCAGAGCACCCAGCTGCTCCCCAGCAAGGAAAATGGCTGGCACCCACTGAGTACCAGGCATGTCTTCGGGGAGGCTTCCTGAGTCAACTCCTTCCCTGTGACCCTGCTGCTTACTGTCCCCAGCCCAGTCCCCTCACTCCTGTATCTCCAGTTTTCCACACAAGAGTGTTTGCCTAGATTGCAAGTGGGGTCCCTGCCTGCACACTCCCAGCAGGCTCCATGTTGCTCTTGGTGTGAAGGCCAGTCCCCTCAGCACACTCATCACGGTTGGTTCTCCCGAGGGCAGGTTCCTACCCCTCCCCCAGCTTCGGCCACTGTCCCAGAGCTCTCTGAGGGTGGATGCAAGTCCTCCCGCTCTGAGCCTTTGCACATGCTGTTCCCTCTGCCTCCATTACTCTTCCTAGCCAGTTCTCAACTGTGCTGACCTTCTTCTAAGAGCAGTTTAGCCCCTTTCCTGCCCTGTGACTCTAGCTGCAGCCTCCACCCCATCACTGTGGTAGCTCCAGTGGCATAAGGGGAGTGACCACCCTCAGTGATGAAGGAGAAGGGAGCAGGCGCTGTGTCTGGCCATCCTCGGGGGCAGTAAGCAGCCTCGGAACAAAGTCTGTTTGATCACAGCCCCTTCATCTAGAAAAGCAGGATACAGATGTTGCCTGCAGCCTGTAGTCCGAGTGAAAGCAAATCCCACTTTCCCAGCTCACTCCATCTCCAGCCTGCTGGCTGTGATGGGAACTCTGCCCTCTGAGCTACAGGGCAGCTCTGCCCGAGGAGGGGGCAATGTGTTTTCATTTCAAATGTGATTGGCTAAATGGCTAGCCACAGAGCCCACCTGGGTTTGCAGAGCACACACCAGGCATCTGATTAATACCACGCACATGAAACTCCATCCCTAAGAGCCAGAGGTTGAAGCAAAACAGGCGGGCTAATTGCTAATACAGGAATTAATATCAGCAAGCATAGATCTGGAAGGCAGCTTGAACAGTAAAGCTAAATCGGGCAGCAAGCCCTGAGGGACAGAAGTGGGCTGCACTGCCACCAAGTTCTCATGTATTGTCACGGGAGCTTGAAGGATGCCATAATATAGGACAGAGAGATCTTCCCCAGGAAGCCCCCCACCCCACCCCAGAACTCATCACTTTCCCTCTAGGCTGGACCTGGTGTGTGTCTCACTCACATTGTAGTATCTGCTAGCTGCTGGCTTCCCCACGAGGCTGAGACTTCGTATAGAACTGGGCTCCTCTGGTCCCCAGTGCACTGTGCAGTGCCTAGAGCATGGCTGGACTGAGCTTGCTAGGTGAGATAGATGGATTGTTGAATGGATTCTAGGGATAGATAGTTGAAGAGATGGATGGAAGGAAAGTGGATGGTTGGATGGATGCATACATGGATGGATGGATGCTTGGATAGATGAGTGGGTAGGTGGGTAGATGAGATGGAGGACAGATGGTTGGATAATTGGAAGGATGGATGGATGGAAAAAATGGAGAGGTTGAAGGCATGAGAAGGCCTTGGGAGGAACCCAGTACCTGGAGGTGCTGTGTTTGCCCAGTGGCACAGTCCTGCTTCACTGGGTCTTGGCATGGTGTGGGGAGAAGAAGCCTGGGCTAGAATTTGGAGCCCTGGCTCTCCTGCAGAATGAATAATTTTGTAAAGCCCTTCCCCACCTTCTCAGCCTGTGTGATGGGCTGTCCGTCCCTCTCTGACCCTCCAGCCTGGCCTGGGCTTACGGGAGATGGTAACCCAGAGATACCAGGAATGGACAGAGGGCCTGGCTCCCTGCAAGATGCTGGTGTGAACAGGTCCATCAGGCCAAGCTGCAAAGGCAGCATGGAGCTGGGGACCCAGCCCTTGGGAGAGGTTGAATGGATTAGGGAGATAGATGGTTATCTTCTTTCTTTTGCCAATACTTTTACTAGAGTTGTTGTTGGTAACAAAAGGAACCGTGTGTGACGAAGAGCTGACAGATGGAAGCTTTTCCTCAGGAGACTTTAAACAGGTTTCCTGGTACAGAGAGACTAGACCAGAGTGTGGACACAGAGAAGGTCCAGAAGAGAGGTCCAGCCAAGCTGCCCTGTGGGGCTAAGGAGAGCCCCCATTCCTGGCCTCTTCGGGCCCGACAGATTCCTTGGTTACCCCACGTGAAAGCATATACAGTAACCGCAGGGGCATGGCTTCTTTCAGTCTAGCAGGGTTCTGGGGCAGGTGCTTGCCAGTGGGCACATTTACACACTTCTTCCAGGCCGCGTGGTGCAGTGGCAGCAGGTGGCTACTACTGGCCATAATTAAGCACCCACAAGTGGGAGGAGCCACAACACTACCCAGGGCTCACACTGCCAGGCTGGCTTGGAAAGCCAGTACATGTCTCAGATACCTGAGAGGCCCCTCCAGAAAGGAGACCCTAGCTGAACCTTCTGTCCGCACACTAGAGGTCTAAGGACTCAGGAAAAGCAGCAGAGAGGGGGGAGCCAACAAGGAAGGCCCAGGAGAGCCCCACTCCGACTCTTGGCTTTTCCAGTGAGAAAGCAGAACGAGGAGTATGTGGGTGCATTTATTAAATACCTACTGTGTGCATGGCACTGAGCTGGGCACCGGAGTATCCAGCCTTCATAGTCTCCCATTGTACCCTGTGACATCACTGCCGTTATAACTGTGGAACCCCATGTTCAGAGGGAGGGAGGGAGGGATGGCGTGAGGATTCTCACAGGAGCGGGGGAGGGTGTGGAAAGGCCCACATGTCACATGTGTGCACTATTACAAATGTATATATGTGCACATTCCTGTCAATCTCTGTGTACTCTCATGCCCATGTGTAAATGTGTGTTCATTTGTACGCATGCATGCCTGTGGAAGTGTGCTTTATGTATTCTTGGGCACACATGTGTGAACATCTTGATCATGTGTTTATATGTTCCATGTGTTCATTTTTGCACATATGCGTGGATTTAAATGTGTGCAGGGATGCACATATGTGTTTGTATGTGTACACTTCTGTTTTCATGTTTGCCTAGTTTCACACATGTGACATATTTGTTCACATGCTTACACAGACGTCACTGGATGCATTAGTCTCATTGGGGACAGTGGGACTGTGGGAGGAAGGGACTGCAGTGGTGAGCCAGGCTGGCTAGGGCCTGAGGAGGGTAGGCCAGCACCGACCAGCTCCTGAGAGCTGGAGGAGCCCGAGTCAAGCACACGACCAGTGGGTGAATCTGCCTTCTCCCTGGGCCCGTGATTTCAAAAGCGGAACTCTGGTTTGTGTCTTTTGTGGAGAGACAGTTGGGGTTCAGGCCCCAAGGACACAGCTCCCATTCTGTGTGTGTGCAGTGGTCTAGCTGCCCGCTCCCACCCCCAGCAGTATGAAACAATTCCCTTGGCCTGTCCAGGAAGGCAGATGACCTCACTGGACTCTTTCCATCTCTCGCTTTCATAGAGAAATTACAGTTTATAATTGGATGAAATCATGAGGGTGGTAATAGCAATAATGGCTTAAGCTGCCGCTACCACTGCCCCCTCTGCCGGAACAGGTTCCTCTTCCTTCCTGCCCAACCTGCCTGGGACACCTGCCTCTTGGCACCTGCACCCCTGATTGGCCCTGGCTACTCTGAGTTTGTGTCTGGCCTCCTGGGAAAGATTCCAGAGAGTGCCCCTTACCCCATCATTCTTCCGTACACCGACCATATACTTTATTCTCCATGTGTTCCCTGTGGTTTCTGTGGGCTACAGCCATGGACCACCACCTCTGCTCAGCACACAGACTTATTAAATATGCACCCTAGATGTGCTGGCTGCAGGTACTGAGCAGGCCTTGAACCAGCCACCCTTGGTCCTACAAAGGAAAGTACCGAGATGCAGCTGAGCCTAACCAGGGCCTCAGATGTCATTAAAGCTCCTTTCCAAAGAGGGCCGCCTGCAGGGGAGCAGATGCCTGAGTTGGGCCTTCTTGGCTGGCTGCTAACAGAGGGAGGAGACAGCTTTGCTTTGTTTTATATTCCTAGGGACAGCCTGCGGCGCCCAGGTCTCTACAGCAGGTAGGGCAGCTGGGTGTGGAAGGCTGGCCCCACGGGAGACAGCCAGCTGAAGCAGGGAGGTCAGGGACACTGGAGACCCAACTTCATGGACCCCTGGTGAGCCAGAGAAGTTGGGTTGTTTTGGAAACCAAGGCCAGGATGGCCCAGTTGGAGCCTTCAAATGACATTTAATTAAGAGAAGCTTGTGCTGGGGAAATGGAGGCTGCCCCAGGCTTGGTGCGTGGCTGGGCAAGGCCAGGAGCTCCCAAGATTTTTCTTTTTTGTTAATTATTACACTTATTTAGTTAATGTGTGTGGTCAGAGAAGGACGGCGAGAGTCAGTTCTCTCCTCCTACCACGCGAGCTCCCAGGGCCTTCAGGCTTGGTGCTAGGTGTCTCCGCCCACTAAGCCATCCTGCCAAGCCTCCAGACTTCACTTTTCTCTGCCCAGTCCTTGCAGGTAGTTAGAAGGAAGGGTTCTGCATGTTACTTGGATTTAAAAAGTGATAAGTGGTGGGGGCAGTAATCTCAGACCCTCGCCAGGCTTGGAGGGAAGCGGTATTTGTTCAAGGAAGGGGAGCTGGGGATGCGGCTCAGCAGTGGAGCACTTGCAGAGAAACCCTGTATTGGAGAAACAGCAAACAAGCCCAGAGCCTGGGAAGCTGAGAACAAGGGGGGGTGGCCATGGCTGCCTGGAGTGCTCACCCCGGGGGGCTCTTGACTTCCTGGGATTTGATTGCTGGTGTTGCCTTTGGCAGGTGAAGAAGCTGGGAGTAGGTGAGAAGGCCTCCCTTGTGACAGCCAGCCGTGCCCAGGGGCTGAAGCAGGAATAACCCACCCTCCTGCCTCACCCATTCCAGAAACTTCTCTACAAACAGAAGCAGCCAAGCAGACCAGCCCCTGCCCCCCCAAAGTGGCTTCCCAAAGCGGGACACACAGGCCTGACAGCTCAGCAGTGCGAGGAGGCGGGAGAGGTGACTACAGCCTGTGGTGAACATCGGAACTCCTCCGAGGGGTAGCAGACCCACCCCCACAGATGCGGCCTGAGTGGCAGGAATACGGATTCTTTGGAGAGTGGCTGGCTCCCTCTCAGCTCTGTCACGCAAGAGCGCTCTCTGCACTGAGCCATTCCGCCAAGTGACTTAAAGGGATTTTAAAAAGAAAGAAAGAAAGAAAAAAAAAAACCCTGGTAAAGAAAGAGGGGGTAACAGCCCCACAGAGGCATTTCAGAAGAGGTGCGGCCTGTGGACAAAGGACCAAAGTTACAAAGAGCTGCGGTGGAAGTGGTGGCCGGTGAAAGGCCACACTCCCCGGGGACTGACATTGAGCTGTAGGGCATGCCCTGCTCAGGCGTCCCCGGGGGTACACACAGAACACACACCCCTCACTCCAGAGAGCCAAGTCAGCAGTGCCCGAGGCCTCGGGTGCCAGAGATGCCGCTTGGGGCCTGCAGCCACCTCTGAGGCCTCGCCGCGGGACGACGTCAGGACCTCCTTACTCTCTGCGTGCCTCAAGCTACCCGGAGCTGCGGGCTGTGGTTGAGTACCTCTGGGTCTGTTGGTGGCGTGGGGCCAGGGATGTGAGCGTGGCCTGGAATTCTGAAGCAGTGACCCCAGTGGGACCCAGCGGCTCAGGGAACAGCAGCAGAGGAGGTAAGAGTCCGGGGCAGGGGTGAGGAAGGGTTCCTGGTGGCCCAGAAGGGTGACCAGAGTCTTTTTCCACCTGGAGGGAGCACAGTGTGTGGGAGGGACAACCGAGTCCTGCCCTCTGCACGCGCGCGCGCGCGCGCGCGCGCGCGCGCACACACACACACACACACACACACACACACACACACACACACACACCGCCATGGGAGGCCTCTGCTTGCTGGGGTAGGGATCACCTGCGGGGCTCTGACAGGTGTACAGGAGGAGACCACTTGGAGTGAGCCTCAGCAGGGAGGGTTTCCTCCTCCTGGGCCTGGCCACCTGCTCTGTACAAACGGGGCAACCATGAGGCCTTGCGATGGGTTTGGGCAAGAGCTTAGGGGAACCAAGGCCATCAGCCTTGATACCTGCTACCCTCGAACTAGCAAGAATCCCAAGATCTCTTCTGTTTGGACCGGCCCTGCTCTGGTCTGAGAGAGCCATGGTGGGGCTGATCAGGAGCCACCACCCGGCATCATCTGCACTGACCTCCAGCACAGCCCTTTTGTTGGTTAGAGGGAAGAGACGGGTCCAGAGAGGTGGACTGAGTGCCCCAAGGCCACACAGCAGGTGGCTGGCTGGACCAGCTCCTCCTGGACTCCAAGAGGGGAGGGGTGGTACCTCTGCAAACAGTAATCCCAGCAACCTCAGAACCCCTCAGCGCCCTGGGCAGGGCAGGGAAGCCCCAATTCATTACTAAGATGGAAAATGACACTTCCGCATGCTCTGCCCCAAGAGAGGACCTGATTTATGACTGCGCCAGGGCCTGGGACATCCGTCAGAGCCGTGCGCTGCGTACGCCGTCTGCGGGGGCATTAATAGCCGTGTTATTAGCCACTGGCGTGAAGGATGCCCTGCGGATGGGCTATTTGCTGTTATTTATTATAAAGGCGCGACAACCTAGCAGCAGGGCCGCGAGCACACAGCTGGGCCCCGCCTGCCTATGGTTCTCCTCTCTGCATCTTCCACTTCCTGCCAGCCCCTAGGAGGAGCTAGGGGATAATTCCTGGGGCCAGGCCAAACCAGAGGGGAGCAGCAACCACCTCCTGTCAATCCTGGTGCTCAAAGCGTTGATGGAAAATCTGCTCAGCCGGCTTGGTGCAGCCTCACGGTACCCAGAGGTGGAGAAACGCAAAGGGACACTCGGGGCTTTGGGGGCAGAGGTGCCTGGGATGGGCCTGGGGGTTCTGGCTGAGAGTGGTGTAAATGAGGGCAGGTCCCCCCCTTGAATGTGCCTCTCCTCTGTACACACAGGCTAGAGCCAGACACAAGGCCAGCTACTCCCAAGAGACCCCCTAGACTCTTGAGACGCACCCATAGACCCGTGGCTGGCAAGAGGTGCTGGTGAGCTGGGGCATGTACCACCATCTGCTCTTACAAACCTGTGGGGAAGGGGTTGAGAGGTCAGACCTTGGAGAGACTGCTCGAAGGCTCCGTCACTGGTCCTGTCCCTGCACATCTATAAAAGGCAGACAGATGGGCTCCGAGCCCTCTTCCTCCCACTCCCAGGGTTCTGTCAGTGTTCTGCTCTCGTGTGCACTCATGGCACGGGCACTCATGGAGATGTGCCTGTAGCTGCCCAGTGCCAAGCTGGCCACCAGCTGGGGCACACCCAGGCCTTTCTGGGCCTGCTTCTCCAGAGCAGCTGAATTTGAGGAGCTCTGGACAGCAAGTCTGAGGCCTGGGTGGGTGGCCAGCTCTTCATAGTTCAGACAGGACTTTTTGTCTCTCAGGACTGCTACAGTGAGGACACCCAGGCCATCGTGGCCTCTGGGGTGGCACTGATGGGAAGGTCTCACCTCCGTCTTTTTTTCCAGCTGCCTAGTTCTGGGCTTTAGAGTGTAGATCTGTCTCGTTTATTCAAGATGTGGGCTGGGGAGATAGCTCCGTCTGTCAAGTGCCTGGGTCCCCAGTGCCCACAGAAAAGCCAGGCATGGTGGTATACATCTGTAGCCCTAGCACTGGAGGTGGGGGCAGAAACAGGTGGATCTCTGGAGATCCCTGGAGATCCCTGGCCAGCCAGCCTAGCCAATCAGTGAGCTCTGAATTCTGTGAGAGACCTGTCTCAAAAGATAAGGTAGAGAGCGATAAATACATCCCATGGCAACCTCTGGCCCTCACATACACACAGACACAAAGTATGTTTACAGGGCCTCTCTGGGCCAGGCTCATTGCTGGGCACAGGATAGGCCACACCTTAGCAGAAGTTTAGGTCCAGTGGAAAGAGCCAGACACGTAATGGATGTCCAGGAAACTGGAGGTCACAAACAGGAATCCTCATTCAGAGCAGGGCCGATTGCCTGCTTCTGAGAGGCCCCAGCCTCCATGCCTGCCTGGGATTCATTCCAATCAGTACTTCCTACACACTTGCTCCTCTCCTCCCTACAGCAGTCCGCAGTCCGGGGGCTCCCACAGGAAACCGAGGAGCTCAGCAGCAAAGGTGCCGGACCCAGCCCTGGTCTTGAGGACTGCCACTTGCCACTGCTGGTGCTGTCCCTTCTCTTCATTCTCCCACCCACTGGCACTAAATCTGCCTTTTTTTTCCTTCCCCAAAGGAATTAAGTCTCATTGGAGGCAGCTTTACTCCAAAGGGACCCAGGCGGCAGTATCAGGTGGAGGACCGTTTCATTAGGAGATGCTGAGAGAGAAAGAAGCAAAATTACATGTGTCTCCTTTCATCTCCCTCCCCCTTCCTGGCCCTGCATAGTTTAATATCGAATACTGCTATCAATATAATTAACCTCCTAAGACACAATTTGAAAGTCTTGTTTTTTAAAGCGATTCACTTTCTCTGAAGCCACGGAGGACATCCTGCTGCCCGGCCCCACCCAGTGGCCCACGCGCTTAGGTGAACTCAGAGTTCATTTCTGGTGGATTTGCATACCTGTCTGCAATTACTGCCCGTGATAACGGCTGATACATAATGCATGCGGCATGAAATTAGAAAAATAATTAACTTTAGATTTGAAAAGAATCTCCGCCCCCCAACTCTCCAGGCATTACAAATGCTGAGTGCTACCACTGGACAAGGACTGGGGGACTAAGCTGTTTGGGGTGATGGGTGAGGCTGGTTGGCACCCCACAGAATGCTAGAGAGTCGGGGTGTGCAGAGGGTGCTCCCATGGCGTGTGCTGGAACAAGCTTCCAGTTCCTGGGCCTCATCTGTAACTTACCAGGGAAATCATGTGGCTGATGAAGTGACCCACCTCCCTCTGTGACCAAGGAGTGCTCCGCAAAGCTGAAAGTGGCCTATTTTATCCTCACAAGACCCCAAGGAAGTAGACTTGGTCCCACTTCCCAGACGAAGCCTTAAAGCCTGAAGCTACCCCTCTACATAGGCCGAGACTGAGAGAAGAAGGCAAGTCTTCTAAGGAGAGAGGCTGCCTGGGAGGCCTCCGCCCTCAGTCTTGTTTGCAGCTAAGTCCCGGAAGTAGCTGCTAACTACTGGATGAGAAACCGAGGGGCCCTTTGTTAATTATTGACAGAGATAGAAGCAGCCCCAGCAGGGTAGGGCAGGGTAAGTGCCAATCAGTGCACCCCGCTCAGCCTTCTCCCTAGGGGTGCGGTGTGTGTGTGTGTGTGTGTGTGTGTGTGTGTGTGTGTGTGTGTGTGTATGTGTGTGTGTGTGTATGTGTGTGTGTGTGTGTATGTGTGTGTGTGTGT